GAATATATTAGGGCAGGAATGGGCCAACTTAGGCCCTCCAGGTTTTTTGGACTTCAACTTCCACCATTCCTAACAGTCTACCAGCTGTTAGGAATTGTGAGAGTTGAAGTCTCAATATCCAGAGGGCCCAAGATGGCCCATGCCTGTATAAAGGCTTCTTTTCACATACAATTCATTCATTAAGTCAGGTACAACAAACTGCACTTACTCAGATACAGTCATGTCATATTTTTCTGGGATGCTGTAGTAACATATGCTGGCAATATTATTTATTTACATTAAATTATGTATTAATATTATTTTATAATCCAATATGTCTTGTACCTACTAGCTGTTAAGAATGGTGGGAGTTGTAGTCCAAAACCTGGAGGGCCCAAGATGGCCCATGCCTGTATAAAGGTTTCTTTTCACATACAATTCATTCATTTAGTCCTGTAAAACAATCTGCACTCACTCAGGTGCAGTCACGTCATAATCTTCTGGGAGGCTGTGGTAACATATGCTGGCAATATTATTTATTTACATTTAATTATGCATTAATATTATTATTTTATAATCCAATATGTCTTGATGATTGTAGAATCCAATATGTCTTGTACCTACCAGCTGTTAGGAATGGTGGGAGTTGAAGTCCAAAACACCCGGAGGGCCCTACTTGGACCATGCCTGCCCTATTATATTCATTTTTGCTCCAAAACGTGCAAGACATATTGGATTATAAAATAATCCAGACATATTGGATTATAAAATAACAATATTAATACATAATTGTCTAGAGACAATTGTGGGTGAAAGGGTAGATACCTGTTGGTCCAAACCCTATAGTGCCAGCTTCATCCTTCATGGGTGTATTGCATTTTCTAATCCTGCTCCATACTCTGTGTCTTAAATCCTCACCATTGTTTCAGGTGAAAAAGTTATTTGTGAAAATCCAGCCTTATTTCCTTGCTGCGGGAGAGGCTTCTTTGGACAACAGGCAGGGTCTGCAGCGAAGGGACGGCACTTGACAAGGTAAGGACAATCTTTGAAAAGATGTGCTTTGCCCCAGAATTATATGCGTCTTGTCAGAAAAAGAATGAGAATGATTTGATTTTTTAAATATTGAACATACATGCAAGATCTTGGAGTCCTCGTGGGGAGGAAGGTGAAATTGAGCAAACAATGTGATGCGGCAGCTAAAAAAACCAATTCCTCATAGGGCTTGTTCTCCAAACCCTTGATTATTTTAGGCTCCCTCCTCTGGACACATTCCAGCTTGGCAACATCTCCCTTCAATTGCGGTGCCCAGAATTGGGCACCGTATTCCAGGTGTGGTTAGACCTGTTGGGCAAGTGGGCTTATTAACAAAAACCCTCCCCATAAATGTACAGCAGAGTAGCTTATTAGTAGCAGCGTGACCCAGCACCAGTGATAAAAAGAACAAAAACACACAGACCAATATTATCACTTCCATAGGACACTGTTCTTTATACTTCCTTCTTTACTTCCGTGCTGGGTTTCTTTCTTATGCAGATAAACAGCTTTGCTCTCACAGAGGCTCCTCTCAAACCAAAACCACACAGGAGCTTCACATAGTAGCTTATTATACACAGCAGCCTTTATACTGGAGCTTTACACATGAGGCTTTACATATGAGGCCTTCTACCTGGAGCCTCTCACACTCAGTTTTCTCATAGACTAAGGTCTACCTCACACTTTGAGGCCCTCTCTCAGACTGAGGTTTACCTCAGACTGACTGCTACTAAGCCATAGGCACACCTGCTTATATAGAACTGCAAATTTTGCTGAATCAGTGCATTCATTTAACACTTTCAGTGCTTGACTCACATTTTTGTAATTAAAAATACCTAGTTAATATTTAATATTTCTGACAAATATTTCTGATATGACCAAGGCAGAATAGAGGGGTAGCATGACTGCCCTGGACCTAGACCGCATACTCCTATTTATGGAGGTAAAAATCCCATTGGCTTTTTTTGCCGCCGCATCACATTGTTGGCTCATGTTTACCTTCCTGTCCACGAGGACTCCAAGATCTTTTTCACACATACTGCTCTTGAGCTAAGCGTCCTCCATTCTGTGTCTTTGCATTTCATTTTTTCTGCCTAAGTGGAGTATCTTGCATTTGTCCCTGTTGAACTTCATTTTGTTAGTTTTGGCCAATCATCTTTCTAATCTATCAAGATCGTTTTGAATTCTGCTCCTGTCTTCTGGAGTATTAGCTATCCCTCCCAATTTGGTTCCATCTGCAAACTTGATGATCATGCCTTCTAATCCTTCATTTAAGTCATTAATAAAGATGTTGAACATAACCGGGCCCAGGACAGAACCCTGTGGTATAGGTATAGAGCCATAGGTATAGCATATTTTAAAAATTCCTACTGTTATAGCATAGGAGTGCTCTTCCTCTTATTCAGTAATGTCCTGTCACAGAAACCATCACAAAAAGATGTGCATATCCTGGAATAAAATTAAATTAGTTTCTAAAGTGAGGAAATAATATTTTTGTTTGTGCTGCTAGTTACCTCCGCATGTTGTCTCAAATGAGCAATGTCATCAAGTTGTGTTTTTTTTTCCTTCCAAAAATGAGAAGTGTAGCAATAGTTAAGAATCAGCAGTGGGAACATTTCCTCTATTTTGCTCCTAAGAGGCCAATAATTGGGGAAGCCACGAGACAGGATCATTTGTCCTTGAAGGCATGGGTAGTTGCCCACAGTTGATACTAATCTGGGATTGGCTGTCTGACCTGGGCAAGGAGAAGTCTTGTTTTTTGTAGCTAAGCTGAGAGCATTGGGAAGGATCTGCTAGATGAGATCCATGTGATCCATCATCCTAATTCCCAAAGTGGCCAAACAGAGGCTTCTAGACATCCCCACAAGCCAAGTCTGATGGCTATAGACATCTCCTGGCATTGTTCCTTGAAAGTGGCATTCAAAGGGATGTTCCTTGGAACAGGTTCTTGGTGTACGAATAGACTGAAATATCAGCCCTATGGTGTCCTCCCAGGTGGGACACAAAGCTAGAGGTGCATCTCTACACCATAGAATTAATACAGTTTGACATCGCTTTAACTGCTCAGTGCTGTGGAATCCTGGGAGTTATAGAAAATGGTTTTTGTTGTTTTGCCAAAAACTCTGGAGTCTCAACAAACCCCAGGATTTGAGGTCACCTGGTGAGTTTTAGGACTGAATTAGTAGTCACTTGAATTGGGCTGAGGTAGATTCAATCATTCATGTCTAATACATTTTATAGTGATGTGTATATTTTATTTATTATTTATTTATTTTGTATGCTTATATACCGCAATATCTCAGCCTACAACGGCGACTCATTGCGGTTAACAGTACTTAAAAACAACAATAATCAAACAATTTAAAAGCATAAAAAACATATACAGTACACAGTATCGGGCCACCAATACCGACCAATGCATCTCTTAGTTAAAATCATAATCCGAATTATGAGGCTTTTCTTTATATGTATTTTGCTGTATGTATTTTATGTTGATGTGTTTTGACTGTGTTGTATCCTGCCGCAAGCCATTAGGAGAAGTGGGTAACAAATGAAATTTGTTGTTATTGTTATTATTGCAGTGTACCTGTACTGATTTGAAAGCACTTTAAATGCCATGGCTTAATGCTATGTAATTGTGAGATTTGTGGTTTTACTACACCTTCTCTGTCAGAGTGAGCTTGTGCCCCACCAAACTACAACTCCCATGATTTTACAGCATTGAGCCAGGGCAGTCAAAATGGTGTCAAACTACATTAATTCTACAGTATAGATACACCCCTCGATGAGGTCTGAACTGAGGTAAATAGGCAACAAGTAAAGCCTTTGGCCAAAGGAATGCACAGTACTGCTTTAGATGGAATTTATTTCAGTATTAATATTTTATAGGACCTCCAAAAGAAAAGATGGAATGTGCATAAGCAATATCTAATGCATATTTGGCAATTCTTATCTAAGGTCTATGTGACCTGCACAGAGTGGAGATACTGACTGCTTGTTGTTTATAAGGATGTTCTCAGAGTCTGTCACTATAGCCATCAAATTACGTAGGTTGGCCCTGGGCATTTGACAGTGCATGCACATCACTTCTAGCATATGTCAAATGTGTTGGGCATGTGGGCTTATTAACAAAAAACCATCCTCATAAATGTACAGCAGAGTAACTTAGCAGCAGCAGCATGAGCCAGCACCAGTAGCCCAAAGTAATAAAAGAACAAAAACAATGTATTGTCGAAGGCTTTCATGGCCGGAATCACTGGGTTGTTGTAGGTTTTTTTGGGCTATATGGTCCAAAATTGCCTCTAGAACATGGCCATATAGCCCGAAAAAAACCTACAACAACCCAGAACAAAAACACACAGACCAATGTTATCTTTTCCAAAAGAGGCTTTTCTTTATAACAAAATAATATGGTTGCACTATTTATAAGAAAAAATGTTTCCATGACACAAATGAAGTTCAACCTTCACACTGGAGTTTCACACACGAAGCATTCTCATACCGAGGCTTTCCTCACACAGAGGCTTCTCTCACAGACTTAAGGCCCTTCTCCCACTGAGGCAAACTAACACAGGCACTAAGTTACAGTCACACCTGCTTATATTAAACTGCAGCTTTTGTGGAATCATTGCATCAATTTAACCCTTTCAGTGCTTGACTCACATTTTTGTAATTAAAAATAACAAGTTAATATTTAATATTTCTGACAAAATGGCAGAGTTTCGCAAAACCATGCAGCCAATGGGTGAGATTGCCGCTACTGTCAAAATGGAGTTAATCAGGCTAATTACAACAAAAATTGTTATTCTTACCGCATTGTATACTAACAGTAGCACATAAGAAGACTAACAAGCAAACAATTTGCCTCTTGTTAGGAAAGCTGTGGATTCCCCTTGCAGTGTTAATGCTGCAATATATGACCCATCACCCCACATTAACATCCCTTTTTTGTTTGTTTGTCATTGCCCTAACACAAGTGTTGAGGGGGAAATGTTTTGTTCTTTTTGTAGAGATTCCAGTGACCTTTGAACAAGTGGCCATATCTTTCCTCCCCAAGGAGTGAGCATTTTGAATCCAGAACAGTCAGCACTGCACAAGGAGGTCATGGAGGAAACTGTTGGGGTTGGGCCTGCTCCTGGTAGGTCTCTTTCTGTTGTTCACTGATAATAATTTCAGTTTTAAAATGCAATAATGCCAAGAACAAGAACTGCAACTTAGCCAAGCATTAGGTGTTCCTTAAAGGAGGGTTGGGAAAGACAAGAATCTCACAGCAAGCAAACGACTTGAGAAATTGTTCTTTTTGTGTCTTCCTTGGGATCCTTATGCATATCTAAGACTCAGGGAAAGACTACAGGTAAGTTTTCAGGAGGAAAGTGTAAGCTTTTGGGGTTTACCTAGAGCTGTGTCACTCAGCTGTGACTGGGCCATAGACTTTATGCAGCATATGTAAAGGTAAAGGTTTTCCCTTGACATTAAATCTAGTTGTCCGCGACTCTGGGGGGTGGTGCTCATCTCCATTTCTAAGCCAAAGAGCTGGCGTTGCCCATAGACACCCCCTAGGTCATGTGGCCAGCATGACTGCATGGAGCGCCATTCCCTTCCTGCCGAAGTAATATCTAATGATCTACTCACATTTGCATGTTTTTGAACTGCTAGGTTGGCAGAAGCTGGGACTAACAATGGGAGCTCACCCCACTCCCCAGATTCAAACTGCCAAGCTTTTGGTCAGCAAGTTCAGCAGCTCAGAGGTTTAACCCATAGCATAGTGCTTAATAAAGAGGAAAACTGATTGACTGTCTGAAGCCTCTTGGACAGCGCTAAACAACATGGGTTTTGTATAAATACTGTAAATAAATAAATAAAAAAGGTAAAGGTTTTCATCTGACATTAGAATCATAGAATCAAAGAGTTGGAAGAGACCTCATGGGCCATCCAGTCCAACCCCCTGCCAAGAAGCAGGAATATTGCATTCAAATCACCCCTGACAGATGGCCATCCAGCCTCTGTTTAAAAGCTTCCAAAGAAGGAGTCTCCACCACACTCCGGGGAGAGAGTTCCACTGCTGAACGGCTCTCACAGTCAGGAAGTTCTTCCTCGTGTTCAGATGGAATCTCCTCTCTTGTAGTTTGAAGCCATTGTTCCGCGTCCTAGTCTCCAGGGAAGCAGAAAACAAGCTTGCTCCCTCCTCCCCGTGGCTTCCTCTCACATATTTATACATGGCTATCATATCCCCTCTCAGCCTTCTCTTCTAGTTAAGTCTAGTTGTGTCCGACTCTGGGGGATGGTGCTCATCTCCATTTCTAAGCAGAAGAGCTGGTGTCGTACATAGACACCTCTAAGGTCATGTGGCCATTACCTTCCTGCTGAAACAGTACCTATTGATTTACTCACATATGCATGTTCTTGAACTGCTAAGTTGGCAGAAGCTGGGGATATCATTCACTGGACCATATTTGGCACAAATACTTGATACGCACAAATTTGAATATTGGTGGGATTCGGGGAGGATTGATTTTGTCATTTGGGAGTTGTAGTTTCTGGGATGTATAGCTGACCTACAATCAAAGAGCATTCTGAACTCCACCAATGATGCAATTGAACCAAACTTGGAACAGGATTCCCCTGACCAACAGAAAATACTGGAGGGTTTGATGGGCACTGACCTTGAGTTTTGGAGTTGTAGTTCACCCACAACCAGAAAGCACTGTGGACTCAAACAATGATGGACCTGGACCAAAATTGGCACAAATACTCAACATGCTCAAATGTGAACACTGGTGGAGTTTGGGGAAAATAGACTTTGACATTTGGGAATTGTAGTTGCTATGATTTATAGTTCCCCTACAATCAAAGAGCATTCTGAACCCCACCAATGATAGAATTGGGTCACATTTCCCACACAGAACCCTTGTGACCAACGGAACATACTGTGTTTTCTGATGGTTTTTGGTGACCCCTCTGACTCCCCCTCGTGACCCCCCCAGGGGTCCCGACCTCCAGGTTGAGAAATGCTGCCCTGAAGAGATGATGGTGGGGTTTTTATTATTTTACTATTATTATTATCCTGAAAGAAATAATGAGGATAGGCTGCTTTTCCTGAGGTTGGGCTTTTTAAAAGTCTTCTGGATCCTTCCTTGTTTCTTGGCATTCATTTTTGCTCATACTTGGGAATGAGCATTTACCCGTATTCTTCTTTCTAGCAGGTGACTGGAAGGAAAATGATGCCTTCGCCGACCATGAAAATGCTCTTACTCAGAACGTAGAGTCCCCGAAACACGAAGAAGCCCACATGGAAGAAAAATGTCCTGAAGAGATGTCCTGCATATGCACCAGCTGTGGGAGATGTTTTGCCCCAAACATGATACATGTGTGCGACGAGAGAATGCAGCTGGAAGAGAATCAGGGTGGTGAACTTTTGGTGAAAGATGTGGATCTCAAATTTCTCCCTGATAGTCATACTGCAGAGACGTCATACAATTGCCAGGAGGGTGGAACATTTTCTATTGCAGATGCAAACTTTCTCTTCCACCCAAGAATTAACGCAGAAGGAATGCCATACATGTGCCCAGCGTGTGGGGAAAATTGCGTTTGCGGGTCAAACCTTGCGATCCAACAAGGAATCCAAACAGCGGAGAAACCATACAAATGCCAGTGTGGAAAATCTTTTGTTTCCAAGTCAAAGCTTTCTGTCCACCAGAGGATCCACACAGGGGAGAAACCCTACAAATGCGATGAGTGTGTGAAGTGTTTTGCTTCCAAATCAGGACTTCTGAAACACCAGAGGATCCACACAGGAGAGAAACCGTTCCAATGCCAAGAGTGTGAGAAATGTTTTGCCTCCAAGTCCGACCTTGTGATCCACCAGAGAATCCACACAGGAGAGAAACCCTACAAATGCCCATACTGTGAAAAATGTTTTGTTTCTAAGTCAAAGCTTGTGATCCACCAGAGAATCCACACAGGGGAGAAACCATACAAATGCCAGGACTGTGGCAAATGTTATCCTCAGTCTTCTCACCTTCACATCCACCGGAGAGTCCACACAAGTGAGGAACTATACAAGTGTCAGGAGTGTGGGAAATGTTTTGCGTCCACGTCGGGGCTTGTGATCCACCAGAGAATTCACACAGGGGAGAAACCGTACAAATGTCAAGATTGTGAAAAATGTTTTGTTTCCAAATCCTACCTGGAGATCCATCAGAGAACCCACACAGGGGAGAAACCATATGAATGCCAGGTGTGTCAAAAATGCTTTGCTTCCAAATCGGAACTTGTGAAACACCACAGAGTACACACAGGAGAGAAGCCGTACAAATGCCAGGTGTGCGGAAAATGTTTTGCTTCCAAATCGGACCTTGTCATCCACCAGAGAATCCACACAGGAGAAAAGCCATACAAATGTGAGGAGTGCGGGAAATGTTACACCCAAACTTCACACCTTCATGTCCACCGGAAAGTCCACACCAGAGATAAACTGTACATATGCCAAGAGTGTGGAAAATGTTTTACTTCCAAGGCAGGACTTGTGATCCACCACAGAACCCACACAGGGGAGAAACCATACGAATGCCAGGTGTGTGGGAAAGGCTGGATTCGTCGGTCGGACCTCGTGGTGCACCAGAGGATCCACACTGGTGAGAAACCGTACCAGTGCCAGGAATGCGCGAAATGTTTTGGTTCCATGTCAGGGCTTATCAAACACCAGAGAATCCACAGGGGAAAGGAACCTGATGCAAACAGCGTGGAAAACATTATACTAAAAATCCGCAGCTTAACCTCCGCTGGAGAGGCCACACAAGAAGAGTACCACAGAAATGCCATGACTGTGGAAGATGTTTTCCTTCCCACTCAGGACTTGGAATCCACCAGAGAATCCACACAGGAGATAAACCATACAAATGCCATGAATATGGCAAATGTTTTATTTTGAATCCAGCAATTAAGCAGCACCAGACAGTCTGCATAGAAGAGAAAACATTACAAACGCAGCTGTGTAGAAAGTGACTTTTTAAAAGAGAGCTTTTAATGCATCAGAGTCCACAGGAAAAACCCTGACTGATACATTTATTTAGGCCCACGAGGACCAGTTAATCATACCATCATCATTTCATAAACCCTCCACTCAAACTTCTTTGAGAAGATGGTATGCAAGGCAAAATAGCCCACTGTGAGAAGTTTTCTCTGAACACTGTAAAGTTCTTTCTAACGTTTTATTGGAATCCCCTTCCCTGTGCCCTGAGTTGCCCTTCAAAAACAGCCTTAATACAGTGTTGAAAGTAAAAGAAAAATGCTTTACTTCAGCAAACACAAAGGATAAGCAAATGCAGTTGAAAAATGCAAAAGAAAGAAAGGAAGTCTTAATGCAGACACAAATTAAAGTCTCTTACAAAGTCCCAAAAGAAAGAGCAGTCTTCCATCAGACAACAGGCAATGATCACTAAGTCCTTAGCAGCAGACAAAGCAGGTTCAATTGGAGTGAAAACATCGGCATCAAAGTCGTTACCAGCGAAAGCTGACCTGCTTCTGATTTATAGCCCTGAATTCCCCATGCAGGAGGTGCTAGGGCGTCTCCCAATTAGCTCAGCGTTTTTAGCAGCTATTCTAGCTGAACGCCGTCTGTGCTCTGTCTCCTTTCGTCTCTCTAGAAATGTGGGCACTTGTAAAACCTCATCGTCTGATTCTTCTCCCTCCAATTCCTGAGCACTGCTCCCCTTCCTCTTCCGAAGATGAGGAACCCCTAACACCCTGTGAGTTGAATCCACTGGTTAGATCCCATTTTCCAGACAGGCAGCAAAGAAACTCATTCTGTTTTCTGTCTCCTTGGAGGCCCCGGGATCTGAGTTCCCTGAAAGTCACTACGTATTCCATTTCCACTTCTTTACCCTTTTTGGTCTGCGTCATTTTACTGTTTCCTCCCAAGTTGAACCCTCTTTGGAAATGTAGATACAAAGCATGGGAAGACCAGATAATCTTTCTCTGATTAGGTCAGACTTACATTGTGTTTCACTAAAAGCTGTTCCAAGTCACATAAAGAAATAACATTTTGCAGTGATGCAAAAGTTAGGTGGCACAAAAACAACCTTGAGAGTGATGGCATGAATATACTTTGACATGTCAACCAATACAGTAGTTTTGTTTATTTTCTTTTTGGAAGCAGTGCTTTCAAATCTGTCTGGGCTTGTGTCCTTTCATTTTGTACTTTGGCAAACGTTGGGGTGATAGTTTGTGAACTTGAGACTCTAAATCTTAAATGCAGATGTTGGGAGGGGGTCTGACCTTGCCTTAACTCTCTCTGAGACTGAGGAAGTTGACTTGCCCAGTGATTCTGAGACTGAGGAAGGGTCTCTCAGTGGGTTTCCATGGCTGAGTAAGGATTTGGACCTTGGTCTCTGAAGTTCTAGTCAACGCTCAAACCACAACACCACACTGTGTAGTGGTCAATGCCTACCTTTGGAGCCCCAGTGCATACCTGTCTCCGCCTTGAGGAACAAGGCTGGAGGGTAAGCATCTTGGAAACCTGCTTTGGGAAACTTCAGGTATTCATTGGTTTGCCTTATGCTCTAAATATCAATGCTATAATTGAGTTGTTGTAGGTTTTTCAGGCTATATGGCCATGTTCTAGAAGCATTCTCTCCTGACATTTCACCTGCATCTATGGCAAGCATCCTATGAAAAACCTATAACAACCAGTGATTCCAGCCATGAAAGCCTTCGACAATACAATGCTATAATTATTCTGAGTGTCTATTTTCCCCTGGAGAGTAATACATCCCGTGACTTTATAGCTATGCATTAGAACTTAGCAAAAGAATAATAAAAGTAAAAGTTTCCCCTGACATTCAGTCTAGTTGGGTCCGACTCTAGGGGGTGGTGCTCCTCTCCCTTTCTAAGCCGAAGAGCCGGCATTGTAGACACCTCCAAGGTCACGTAGCCAGCATGACTGCATGGAACACCATTAACTTTCTGCAGAAGTGATACCTATTGATCTACTCACATTTGCTTGTTTTCAAACTGCTAGGTTGGCAGAATCTGGGCCTCCCTGGGTTTGAACCACCAACCTTTCGATCAACAAGTTCAGCAGCTCAGTGGGTTAACCTGCTGCATCACCATGGGGCCCTAGCAAAACAATGGCTGCATAAAAATTAAGGATAGAACTGGAGAGCAATTGCAAAAAGAATAAAAATGCAGTGGAAAATGAGCCATTGGTTGGGTCACAAATTGAAAAGGGGCGTGGGACTGCTTTATTTGCTTCTATCTCATGCAGCTTTGGGTCTTGTAGACGGATGAGAGCTGTATTATCCAAAATAACCTGCAATTATCCATATTTGCAATCCTCTAGTGCAGGGCTTCTCAAACTTTTTAAACAGAGCGACAGAACTGTTGGAGGGCTGGATTATAATTTGAAAAAAAAGAATGAATTCATACGCACACTGCACATATCTTATTTGTAGTGCAAAAACCACTTAAAAACAATACAAAAATTAAAATGAAGAACAATTTTAACATATATAAACTTAGTATTTCAGTGGGAAGTGTGGGCCTGCTTTTGGCTGATTAGATAGGACTGTTGTTGTGTGCTTTCAAGTAATTTCAAATTTAGGATGACCCTGAGCAAGGGTCAGGTAAATGACTTTGGTGGGCTGTATCTGGCCTCTGGGCCTTAGTTTGAAGACCCCTGCTCTAGTGGGTTTTCTGGAGCCCCCATTGGCGCAGTGGGTTAAACCGCTGAGCTGCTAAACTTGGTCAGTGGTTTGAATCAAGGGATTGAGGTGAGCTCCTGCTGTTAGCCCCAGCTTCTGCCAACCTAGCAGTTCGGAAAAATGCAAATGTCAACTCGGGTCCAGCTTCCTGTCTGCAAGACATAATCAAAAGCAAATGATGATAAACCTAATGTAACACAGTTGTACTGTATTATAAAAGCAGCTTTTTATTAAAGTACGTCTTCAAATTATTGTTGTCACTGCTGTTTGCTGGAGAGTTTTATTTATTTGTGGTATTTAAGAGTTCCACTTAATTGGTTTGCCAGGAGACTTGCAGCAGGGAAGGAAGCCTAGCAGGCATGGGACAACTTGGGCTCTCCCTCCAGGTCTTTTGGACTTCAACTCCCAAAATTCCTGGCCAAAAAGCTGGTGGGCCGCTGCAGAGGCCAAGGCCTGAGCAGAGGGCCACACCAAGCTGCAGGAAGTGCTGGGCAAGCTCAGCTGGGAGGCTGACGGCGAGCAGACCACCCTGGAGCTGGAGCAGAGCCCCTTCCTCAAGTACATCCTGCAGCACTTTGAGGGGAAACAACCCATATTATATATAACAATAACTATTTTTGGAGCCCCTGGTGGCGAAGTGGATCAAATCTGGGAAGTGGCGTGAGCTCCTGCTGTTAGCCCCAGCTTCTGCAGTTTGAAAACATGCAAATGTGAGTAAATCAATTGGTACCACTCCGGCGGGAAGGTAACGGTGCTCCATGCAGTCATGCCAGCTACATGACCTTGGAGGCGTCTACGAACAACGGCAGCTCTTTTGGCTCTTTTGGCTTTTGGCTTAGTAATGGGGATGAGCACCAACCCCCAGAGTCAGACACAACTGGACTTAATCTCAGGGGAAAACCTTTACCTTTACCTAACTCTATTTTTATAACCCCGTGTCCATCTCCCCGAAGGGACTCGGTGGCTTACATGGGGACAAACCTGGACAAACAGACTGAAACACAATAAAATAAAATAAACACATCACAATAACACAACATCATAAAAACAATCCCTAACCTGAACACTAATAAATACTGAACTCGGAGGGCTAGGAGCTTGTGCAGTAGTTTCAGGACAGGGGCTAGTGGAGAAGTGTAAAAGCTGATAATAAGTAGGGCTGGAAGGATAATGGCATTTGAGTGCCAGATCTATAGGGCAGGGGGCAGTGCTAAAGTGCAGGAGCTGTTGGTGAATTACAGTTTGGGGCCAGTTACCTGGTGTACTGATTAATCATAGGCACAGTGGAACATCCAAGTTTTTAAGTCCTTGCAAAAACTGGACAGGGTGGGTTCCAATCTAATCTCCCTGAGGTGAGAATTTAAAAGCCGGAGGGCCCCCACTGAAAAGGCCCTTTCCCTCGTCCCCGCCAGCTGTGCTTGAGACAAAAGGTGGAAGCAAGAGAAGGGCCTCCCTAGAAGATCTCTCTTCCAGGAGCAAGCTTGTTTTCTGCTTCCCTGGAGACTAGGACGCGAAACAATGGCTTCAAACTACAAGAAAGGAGATTCCATCTGAACATGAGGAAGAACTTCCTGACTCTGAGAGAGCCGTTCAGCAGTGGAACTCTGCCCCGGAGTGTGGTGGAGGCTCCTTCTTTGGAAACTTTTAAACAGAGCCTGGATGGCCATCTGTCAGGGGTGATTTGAATGCAATATTCCTGCTTCTTGGCAGGAGGTTGGACTGGATGGCCCATGAGGTCTCTTCCAACTCTTTGATTCTGATTCTATGATCCTGGAGCTCATGCCTGTTCATAGGGGAAGATGCGATTGCGAAGATAGGCAGGTCCCGAACCGTTTAGGGCAGCGTTTCTCAACCTGAGGGTAGGGACCTGGTGAACTGTTTAATCTGGGAGGGTCACCAGGGGGTGTCAAAGGGTGACCAAAGACCATCAGAAAACACAGTATTTTCTGTTGGACATGGGGGTTCTGTTTGGGAAGTTTGGCCCAATTCAATCGTTGGTGGGGTTTAGAATGCTCTTTGATTGTAGGTGAACTAAAAATCCCAGCAACTACAACTCCCAAATGAATGGCAAGGTCTATTTCCCCCCAACTCTACCAGTGTTCGCATTTGGGCATACTGAGTGTTCATGCCAAGTTTGGTCCAGATCCATCATTGTTTGAGTCCACAGTGCTCTCTGGATGTCGGTGAACTACAACTCTAAAACTCAAGTTCAATGCCCACCAAAACCTTCTAGCGGTTTCTGTTGGTCATTGATTGTAGGCGAAGTATAAATCCCAGCAACTACAACTCCCAAATAACAAAATCAATCCCCCCCCCCCCAACCCCACCAGTATTCAAATTTGGGTGTATCGGGTATTTGTGCCAAATTTGGTCCAGTGAATAAAAACACATCCTGCATATCAGATATTTATATTACAATTCATAACAGTAGCAAAATGACAGTAATGAAGTAGCAACAAAAATAATGTTATGGTTGGGGGGTCATCACAACATGAGGAACTGCATTAAGGGGTCACAGCATTAAGAAGGTTGAGGGTGTAGGAGCATAGTGTCTAGATCTAAGGAAGTAATGCTACACCTCTATTCCGCTTTGGTTAGACCACACCTGGAATATTGTGTCTAATTCTGGGCACCACAATTCAAGAGAGATATTGACAAGCTGGAATGTGTCCAGAGGGGGGCGACTAAAATGATCAAGGGTCTGGAGAACAAGCCCTATGAGGAGCGGCTTAAGGAGCTGGGCATGTTTAGCCTGAAGAAGAGAAGGCTGAGAGGAGATATGATAGCCATGTATAAATATGTGAGAGGAAGCCACAGGGAGGAGGGAGCAAGCTTGTTTTCTGCTTCCATGGAGATTGGGACAAGGAACAATGGCTTCAAACTGCAAGTGAGGAGATTCCATCTGAACACGAGGAAGAACTTCCTGACTGTGAGAGCCGTTCAGCAGTGGAACTCTCTGCCCCGGAGTGTGGTGGAGGCTCCTTCTTTGGAAGCTTTTAAACAGAGGCTGGATGGCCATCTGTCAGGGGTGATTTGAATGCAATATTCCTGCTTCTTGGCAGAAGGGGGTTGGACTGGATGGCCCATGAGGTCTTCTCCAACTCTTTGATTCTATGATTCTATGGTGTCAAGTCTCATTTGTTGCACGGTGACCTGAGACACTGCTGTGAGTCTCCCCAAAAGCAAGCAGGGAGCTGCGGCTTTTGAGAAAGCAGAAGCACAGGAGCAATGGGCATTCAAAAGGGAAAGGAGATGCCCATGAAGGACAAAAGCAAGGCATGGGCAAGCTCTGGCCCTCTGGGTTTTTGGGATTTCAACTCCCACCATTCCTAATCCATCTAAAACACAGACATGCGCCTTTCACCTTAAGAACAGACAAGCATCCCGAGCTCTGAGGATTACCTGGGAAGGAATCCCACTGGAGCATTGCAGCGCACCCAAATACCTGGGAGTCACTTTGGACCGTGCTCTGACCTACAAGAAGCACTGCCTGTATATCAAGCAAAAAGTGGGCGCTAGAAACAACATCATACGAAAGCTGACTGGCACAACCTGGGGATCACAACCAGACACAGTGAAGACATCTGCCCTTGCGCTATGCTACTCTGCTGCTGAGTACGCATGCCCAGTGTGGAACACATCTCACCACACTAAAACAGTGGATGTGGCTCTTAATGAGACATGCCGCATTATCACGGGGTGTCTGCGCCTACACCACTGGAGAAATTACACTGCTTAGCCGGTATTGCACCACCTGACATCCGCCGGGAAGTAGCAGCCAATAGTGAAAGGACCAAGGCAGAGACATCTCCAGCTCATCCCCTGTTTGGGTATCAGGCAGCACGTCAACGACTTAAATCAAGACATAGTTTTCTTAGATCTACAGAGACACTCGCTGGAACACCCCAGCAAGCGAGAGTCCAAAAGTGGCAGGCCCAAACCCAGCACCTCAATTCATGGGTGATACCAGATGAGAGACTCCCCCCTGGGCACACAGAAGACTGGGCGACTTGGAAGGCGCTGAACAGACTGCGCTCTGGCCCCACGAGATGCAGAGCCAATCTTAAGAAATGGGGCTACAGGGTGGAATCCTCGACATGCGAGTGCGGAGAAGAACAAACCACTGACCACCTGCTGCAATGCAACCTGAGCCCTGCCACAAGCACAATGGAGGACCTTCTTGCGGCAACCCCAGAGGCACTCCAAGTGGCCAGATACTGGTCAAAGGACATTTAACCAAATACCAAATTTGCAAAATCTGTGTGGTTTTTTTTTCTTTTTAATCTCTGTGTTTGTTTTGCTCTGTTAGAATTGTAATACAATGGTTGCTGATGACACGATAAATAAAATAAAGGGAGAAAACATGGAGGCCGTGACAGACTTTGTATTTCTAGGTGCAAAGATTACTGCAGATGCAGACTGTGGCCGGAAATCAGAAGACGCTTCCTTCTTGGGAGGAGAGCAATGTCCAATCTCGATAAAATAGTAAAGAGTAGAGACATCAGACTGGCAACAAAGATCCGCCTAGTCAAAGCCATGGTATTCCCTGTAGTAACCTACGGATGTGAGAGCTGGACCTTAGGGAAGGCTGAGCGAAGGAAGATCGATGCTTTTGAGCTGTGGTGTTGGAGGAAAATTCTGAGAGTGCCTTGGACTGCGAGAAGATCAAACCAGTCCATACTCCAGGAAATAATGCCCAACTGCTCACTGGAGAGAAAGATATTAGAGGCAAAGATGAAGTACTTTGGCCACATAATGAGAAGACAGGAAAGCTTGGAGAAGACAATTATGCTGGGGAAAGTGGAAGGCAAAAGGAAGAGGGGCCGACCAAGGGCAAGATGGATGGATGGCATCCTTGAAGTGACTGGACTGACCTTGAGGGAACTGGGGGTGGTAACGGCCGACAGGGAGCTCTGGCGTGGGCTGGTCCATGAGGTCATGAAGAGTCGGAGACGACTGAACGAATGAACAACAACATGGGAGCTGAAGTCCAAAACCAAAAAGTTGACCCAGGCCTTTTTTGCTTTTTGAGAAACTGCAAGTCGCTCCTGGTGTGAGAGAATTGGCCGTCTGCAAGGACATTGCCCAGGGGACGCCCGGATGTTGTGATGTTTTACCATCCTTGTGGGAGGCTTCTCTCAGAAGCCTGAGACACAAAGAGATTCTACTTCCGGTCCTCCCTCTCTCTCACCTGATTGGACACTGCCTGGCCGAGTGGCAGTCACGTGACGCCGAGAGGGGGTGTGGCCAAGCCTCTGTCTGAGGGACAGCCAGCCAAGTGCTCCCTTCAAAGGAGTCCCCCGGAAACGCCTCCTCTTTTGTGTCCGAGGAAGAGGCCTGTGAGGAAGTGCAGGTGAGGCTGGAGGGAGAAGGGAAGGGAAAGGTAGGGGAGCAGACAGAGAAGGGGGTCTTCCTTTGGGGCCTCCCAAGCTTTCAACACCCCCAGCATCCTTATCCTCATCTTATCCTCGTCCCAGCCCTTTGGCTTAACCTTTTCTGTTTGTTTATTATCTTGTTTTCATAGAATCATAGAATCCTAGAGTTGGAAGAGACCTCATGGGCCATCCAGTCCAACCCCATTCTGCCAAGAAGCAGGAATATTGCATTCAAATCACCCCTGACAGATGGCCATCCAGCCTCTGTTTAAAGGCTTCCAAAGAAGGAGCCTCCACCACACTCTGGGGCAGAGAGTTCCACTGCTGAACGGCTCTTTTCACAGAACAGGACTCACAGCCTCTGTTGCAGGCTTGGGCCCTCTAGGGATTTTGGACTTCAACTCCCACCATTCCTAACAGCCTCAGGCCCCTTCCTTTTCCCCCTCAGCCGCTTAAGCGGCTGAGGGGGAAAAGGAAGGGGCCTGAGGCTGTTAGGAATGGTGGGAGTTGAAGTCCAAAATCCCTAGAGGGCCCAAGTTGGCCCAGGCCTGCTCTATTCCTACTACTATCACACACACATCCCTGTATAGAGAGCAGGCTGCCTCTGGGAAGGCCCACAATAAGGCCAGACAACAGTGGTAGCTTTTGGTCCTCAGGTCCAGAGGTGTCCATCAAGGCATTTAGCAAGTGCTTCTGTTTTCCCTCCCCAATGTATGCATGTTTCTGTGTATGTACAAACCGGTGATTAATAATAATAATAATAATAATAATAATAATAATAATAATAATCTTTATTTAATACCCCACCACCATCTCCCCAATGGGGACTCGGGGCGGCTTACATGAGGCCAAGCCCAACAGCATATGTAGGGATGCTATATTTATTTTAGCAGTTATACATTATTTTAAGTCTTTGTATACTTAAAATAAAGTGAAGGAAAGGAAAGAAAGGCCCTTCAAGGCTGGAAGGAAGGAGGGAGGACTGAGGAGGGAAAGCATCTCGGAGAGCGGCGGTGGCAAAAACCCACGAAACAGCAGAAATACCGTTATATATATATGTTTTAATTGAATATATTTTGAAAACTGTGAAACAGCAAATCCGCTAAAAGCCCATGAAGTAACGAGGGAACACTGTACAATTACATGGTTAACAAAGGGGAATTACATTTTCACTCGGCATTCACACACATGTACATGCATTCATCACCACGCACCCAATTGTTAGCACATCCTTTTCTCCCTCCTTGGAGAAACACCTGTTAGGCCAGACCCTGCTTCCCTGCACCCTGTCAACGCACAGTTCCAAAACTCCAAAATGCATCCTTTCCCTAAACACAATGCCAAGGACCAGATCTCTGTTTTCCATATAGTAGAATCTGACTCCCTGCACAAAATCTAAGACCAAAAGTGCACTTCTTCCTATTCCCTTGAGAAAGAAGACCAAACTGATCAGACTGCTCCTTTGCAAATCTGCCACTCCATGGTACACTATCTCTCTCCTTCTTATGGAGCAGAGCATAGCGGGTGGAACAGACTCCTCAGGTCTGCCACGCTTGAGCATTATAAGACTAAGTCTTTTATAGGAATATTCTGCTGATGTCATCCCAAAGTTGTAAATGAACGATAGATATCTTCCATCCTGGCTCCATCTCAGTTTCCTGGCCAGATGTTGATCTTCTTGATTGTTGTTAGCCTTGTGTTGACTTCCTTCTTAACATTGTAAACATTTCTCTCACCACCGTCTCAGTTCTTACCAGAGTTTACTTTTCAGTTCTCATTAGCAGGTTTTAATCACAGTCCAGCAAGCAGATAATTAGTCATCGCAGGCCTTACTGGTATACTGGTGTATCCAAAATTATTAACTCCACTCATACAACTTCCATTCTTCCATTCATTCCCACACATCATATTAAATTCACATTTCTCAAATCTGCACATTAAATTTTTGTGACATAGACTTGTCCACAGCTGCATAGTATATGGTCAACTCCTGCAGAAGTGAGAGGATCTCTCTTGTCCTTTGCTGAACATAGCATTTGTTGGATTTTCTTAGTGGGTCTGTAGATAGTTTGTAGGTTTTGTTTCTTCTTCAGAAATATCCTTATAGAAGCAATGTTGTAAAAGCACCTTGTGTGTTTTGTTTTAGATACTTCTTATCATACCTGTTGTTCTTCTCTGAACTTTTGTGATCCCTCTCTACCGATGTCTTAAGTTCTCCAGTGTAACTCTGCTATGCTGGGATGGAAGTGAGATACATTTCTGGAAATATATTTCCTCTTGTATAAAAATTGTTAACAACAGTGCCTTGGCTTTGCATAGGTTTGCAGCAGAGCCTGATGCAAGAGCTTTGGCCCTGAGAGAGAAGCGACGAAGTTCAGCACCATTGGCAGCTTCCTTGGACACTGTTTGAAAAATGGACAGACCAGACTCTGCAGGTTCTGAAACAGGAAGGGACCTCAATGCTCCAAGTGCTGGGAGCAATGGGGAACTCGGGGAAGGAGTGAAGCAGACTTTCCTGGGTGATGATATTGCCAGCTCAGGCACACAGTGCCAACGCTTCAGGCAGTTCTCTTACAAGGAGGTTGAGGACCCCCGAGAGGTTTGCAGCCGACTCCATGATCTGTGCCATCAGTGGCTGAAGCCAGAAAAACAAACCAAAAATCAGATGCTGGACCTGGTGGTGCTGGAGCAGTTCCTGAGCATCCTTCCTCCAGATATGTCAAGTTGGGTGAGAGAATGCAGAGCGGAGACCTGTTCCCAGGCAGTGGCCCTGGCAGAAGGTTTCCTCCTGAGTAAGAAAGAGGAAAAGCAGCAAGAAGAGCAGCAGGTGAGAACCTTGCATGTGCAAAGTTGAGTTGAGCAAGATATCCGCTTCTCTGCTGCTGTTTTCCAGACCCTTCTATCCTACTGCTGTCACCCCCATAGCCATTGGGATATTTCTTGCATTCCTGTTGAAATTTGCTGCCTCAAATCTCTGTCTTAGGAGAGTACAAGGCTCCTAGTTTTGAAGTAGAATCATAGTCTAGACCAGTGGTCTTCAACCTTCCTAATGCCGCAACCCCTTAATGTAGTTCCTCACATTGTGGTGACCCCCAACCATAAAATTATTTTCATTACTACTTCATAACTGTAACTTTGTTGCTGTTATGAATCATAGTGTAAATATCTGATATGCAGGACGTATTTTTACTCACTGGATCAAATTTGGCACAAATACCCGATGTGCCCAAATTTCAATACTGGTGGGGTTGGGGGGGTTGATTTTGTCATTTGGGAGGTGTAGTTGCTGGGATTTATAGTTCACCTACAATCAAAGAGCATTCTGAACTCCACCAACAATGGAATTGAACCAAACTTGGCACACAGACTCCCATGACCAACAGAAAATACTGGAAGGGTTTGATGGGCATTGACCTTGAATTTTGGAATTGTAGTTCACCTACATCCAGAGAATACTGTGGACTCAAACAATGATGGATCTGGACCAAACTTGGCACGAATACTCAATATGCCCAAATGTGAACACTGGTGGAGTTTGGGGAAAATAGTCCTTGATATTTGGGAGTTGTAGTTGCTGGGATTTATAGTTCACCTACGATCAAAGAGCATCCTGAACACCACCAACACTAGAATTGGGCCAAACTTCCCACACAGAACCCCCATGACCAACAGAAAATACCGTGTTTTCTGATGGTCTTTGGCGACCTCTCTAGCACCCCCTTGTGACCCCCCCCCCCACGGGCCCCGACTCCCAGGTTGAGAAACGCTGGTCTAGAAAGTTTCTTGGAAGTAAGATTATGTTTTGAAATCAACTGCATCTCTCTTGTTTTCAAAGGAAGTCATAGATCCTTTGGCTGCAACTGATGCAGAACCAGTTCAGGGGCAAGATCAAGGGGAGTATGTGGCTTTGGTTGGTCGAGGAGTGAAACCTGCTGTCCTTTGCCCCTCCAAGCCTCCTCTTCTCCCTGCACAGTATTACACCTCCTTTTCTAGTTGACGCTGGGGCTGAGAGGATGGATGGGTGGTTCATATGTTAAAACAGGCATGGGCAAACTTTGGCCCTCCAGGTTTTTTGGATTTCAACTCCCACCATTCCTAACAGCCTACCAGCTGTTAGGAATGGTGGGAGTTGAAGTCCAAAACACCTGGAGGGCCAAAGTTTGCCCATGCCTGCCTTAAAGTGTCAACTTCATGTCCTATGGTTGTGCAGCATTTTCGAATCCATTTTCACACTTTGTATCTTAAATCTTCACAACCATTTCAGGTGAAAAAACGCGCTGTGGGACTTCAGCCTTATTTCCGTGCCGCAGGGGAAGCTCCATCGAATGCCAGACAGCGTTCCCAACAAAGGAGCAACAGATTGCAAAGTAAGGTGCATTGCTGGGAGAGTGTACTTTTTAAAATATCATATTCCTCATCTGAAAGTATTTTGGACATAAAGTTTTGCATATGTCATCCAGAGACTTCAGGGTTATTTATTTATCGTGTCAGAAGCAAATTGAAGGCACAGTTGTAATGTATTAAAAACACAAACGAAAGTTAAAAACTTGACGTTATACTAAATGTCCTTTGACCAGTGGCCGGCCACTTGGAGTGCCTCTGGTGTTGCTGTGAGAAGGTCCTTCATATTTCATGTGGCACGGCTCAGACTGCATTGTAATAGGTGGTCTGTGGTTTGCTCTTCTCCACACTCGCATGTTGTGGACTCCACTTTGTGGCCCCATTTCTTAAAGTTGGCTCTGCATCTCGTGGTGCCAGAGCGCAGCCTGTTCAATGCCTTCCAAGTCGCCCCAGGAGAGAGTCTCTCATTCGATATGAGCCATGGATTAACCTGCCACTTTTGGACTTTCGCTTGCTAAGGTGTTCCTGGGAGTATCTCTGTAAATCTTAGGAGCTATTTCTTGATTTAAGGCATTGGTATGCAGGCTGATATCTGAACACAAGGTGGGCTGAAGATGTCACTGCCTTGGTGCTTTCATTATTGGCTGCTATTTCCTGACAGATGCCAGGTGGTGCAATACTGGCTAAACAGTATAGTTTCTCCAGTGGTGTGGCGTGCGTACTTAGCAGCAGAGTAGCAAAGTGCAAGGGCAGATGTCTTCACTGTATCTGGTTGTGATCCTCAGGTTGTGTCAGCCAGCTTTTATATGATATTATTTCTAGCACCCACTTTTTGCTTGATAGTCAAGCAGTGCTTCTTGTAAGTCAGATTTTAGCTTGCAATGTTATCACTATGTTGGTGACACTCAACTTGTATTTTGACTAGAACAAAATGAATCTTAATCTAGACACCACAAAGGTGTTCCTGGTTATTCAGAATGTAGATCAAGGTATAGGGACCCCACTTGTGCTGGATGGGATTATACCCCTGCCTGAAATTTATGGTCATAATGTGAGTGTGCTCCTGGACTTGGATCTGAGGCTGGGTGACATTTGCACAATTAGAACTGTGATCTGGGTCTGAGACCAGTATGACTGACCTGCTTCGCACTGCCTTGATCTCTCTCCCAGGAGCTGGAGGAAGACTGGCAACAAGGGCTCAGTTGCCTCTTCTACCTTGTGATGGAGGAGAGCCATTTCAGGTAAGGAAAAGAGTCACTGGAATGTTAAGATGTGTTTGGGATTCTTGGTCTCCAACAGTCGCTAATACAAAGGGTTGGGAAAATGTTGCCATTCATTTTTCATGGAAAAAAAAAGATTTGAGAATTTCCCAATATTTAGGGTGAAAAGGTTTTGAGATGGAAATATTTAATTTTGGAGTTGGAACACATAACTAAGAGCTGAGTAAATTATAATAGGTCCCTCACTTTTGCTGGGGGGTGGTGGTATTAGGGACATAGGATGAAAGTAGAAACATCTCTCGTTAAAAAAAATAGCAATTTCTTCACAGTTGGGTTGTTGTAGGTTTTTTTGGGGTATATGACCATGTTCTAGAAGCATTCTCTCCTGACGTTTCACGTGCATCTATGGCAGGCATGCTCAGAGGTGGTGAGGTCTGTTGGAAACTAGGAAAAATGGGTTTATTAACAAAAGACCCTTCTCATAAATGTGCAGCAGAGTAAATTAGCAGCAGCAGTGTGACCCAGAGTGACAAAAAGAACAAAAAACGCACAGGCCAATATTATCTCTTCCATAGTAGTGGTAGTAGTAGTAGTAGTAGTAGTAGTAGTAGTAATAACAACAACAACAAAAGGAGGCTTTTCTTTATAGTAAAATAATATAGCTGCATGATTTACAATAACTAGGTTTCCATAACACAAAATAAACAAATGCATAGTAGTTTTAAATGCAACAGCTTTAACACTGGAGGTTTCTCACATAAGGCTTCTCACACAGAGGTTTACCTCACACTCCTCAGGATGATACTAGCTTTGGCCCACTGACTCTAACAGGCTTTGGCCTGCTCACTGTCCTCAGGACGACACTAGCTTTGGCCCACTGACTAACAGGCTTCGGCCTACTAACTCTTTCAGTATTTGACTCACATACCCAGTTAATATTTAATATTTCTGACATCTTATACTTTTGGAACTGGCAGATAGTGCACAGGATTGAGAGGCAAATGATATGCCCTCTGTTAGGAAGGCTGTGAATGCTACCCTCAGTTTTAACAAACCAGTCAGTCCACATTAGCCTCCCTTTTCTGTTTTGTTTATTAGCCGCCTCAGTGGTGGGAGTGTGCAGGAATTGAATGTTTTCCTTTTCTGTCCAGGCTCTAGTGGGTTTTGAGGATGTGGCCGTGTCTTTCTCTCAAGAGGAGTGGGCTCTGCTGGATCCAGATCAGAGGGCTCTGCACCAGGACGTTATGAAAGAGATGTGTGGGATCGTGTCCACTCTTGGTATGGCTCTTTAATTAATAAAGTAATATAACATAATATTATATTATCATTGAGCTCAGGGCCTTGAACAGCTTTCCAATGGGGATGCCACAAAGATTGGAATCATATCAAAGGCAGTGTCTCCTGCACTGTGCTAATAATATAATATAATATAATATAATATAATATAATATAATATAATATAATATAATATAATATAATATATTGTATATACATATAATATTGATAATATTATAATGTAATACAATATACTGATGTTATAATTACATTTATAATATCACATTAATATTACTAATAATATTATAGTATAATGGTATAGTATATATAATACTAATATTGTGCTATGATAATAATATATTGTATTTACATATTACTTGTAAGCCTCTTTTCCCTGAGTCCCCTTCAGGGTGAGAAGGGCGGCATATAAATGTCGTAAATAAATAAATAGATACATCCTCATGTTTCCGTTCCATCTGCACAGAAGAACAATCTCTTTAAGATTTGTTGTAAAGAATCCAGAGCTAGTAAAGGATCATAGAATCCTAGTGTTGGAAGAGGCCCTAAGAGGAATCTAGTCCAAACTTATTCTGCCATACAGCAATCGATAATCAAAGCACTCCAAACAGAGATGCTACCTTGGAGTGTAGTGGCATCTCTTATTTGAACAGAGACATTTTTAACAGAGGCTGGAGGGCCCTATGTTGGGAGAGTTAGCTTGTGCATTCCTGCATGGCAGAATAGGGTTGGACTAGATAGCTCTTAGGGTTTCTTCTACCTCTAGCGTTCTTTGGTTTTTATCATTTTGGCATACTTTTTAGTAACACGAATCTGTCACCACAAAAAGGACATAATATATACACATGAACACACAGTATGAGCCAGTCCTTCAAAAAAAAGAGGATGCAATCAAGATCGGGCAGGATTATACATGGCCCACAAAGGACATGTTGCTCTAAGCCTCCCACTTTTTTCTTCCGAAACTGCTGTAGTTTGTAGTTCTCCTTCCTGAGTTTTGGAGGTGCCTCAGAATTCCAAAGAAGACATAAACACAACTGGAGTCAGTCACTTGCCTCCAGGCCCTTGTAATCAGGCATACTAATTGTTACACTGACTTTCCCTGATAAGGAGTTACATTTTACTTATTTTGACAATTGCTTGTGAAATTAAACTGAAAATAGAGCTTGATGGAAAACAGGTTGAAGTGTGAAAATCCTGATAATTTATTTGTTTACTATTATGCTGGAGCGTAAAAGACCAATGAGGAGAGGTTGCTTTCTGAGTTTTAGATGTTTTATTATTTTTAAAGGTAGGATTATTTTTAATATATATGTGTTGTTGTGATAATGTTATGCTTATGTTGTTTTGTTAATTTTATGACAAGTTGTTTACTCTGTATGTTTTGGTGATGTTACTTGGAAACTGCCCTGAGTCCCCCTCGGGGAGACAGAGCGATATATAAATAAAGATGATTATTATTATTATTATTATTATTATTATTATTGTTGTTATTATTATTGTTCACTAGCTGTACCCACCATGCGTTGCTGCGGCCAACCTTCCCTCCCTCTTTCTCTCCTTCTTTCCCTCCTTACTTCACTCCCTCTTTCCTTCCTTCCCTTTTTTCTTTCCTTCCCTCTTTCCTTCCCTCCTTCCTTCCTTCCTTCTCTACCGCTTTCCTTTCCCATTTTTCTTTTCCTTCCCTTTCTCTCCTTTCTTCCTTCTCTACCTCTTTCCTTCCTTCCTCCGCTTTTTGCTTCCATCCATATTTCTGTCTTTCCTTCTTTCCTTCCCTCCCTCTTTCTCTCCTTTCTTCCTTCTCTACCTCTTTCCTTCCTTTCCTTTTTTATTGCCTTCTCTTCCTTCCTTCTCTACCTCTTTCCTTTCCCCTTTTTCTTTTCATCCCTCTTTTTCTCCTTTCTTCCTTCTCTACCTCTTTCCTTCCTTCCTTCACTCTTTGCTTCCATGCTTCCTTCTCTCTTTCCTTCTTTCTTTTCCTCCCTTTCTCTCCCTCCTTCCTTCTTCTTTCTTTCTTTCTTTCTCTCCTTTCCTCCCTCTTCCTTCCCTTTTTTCCTGTATTGTCATTTAGCTTTTAATCATTTCGCTTTTTGGACTTTTTTTTTGGTGGGGGGGGTATGAGTGATGGTGACTCATTGGTCTGTTAGGGGTATAGTGTCCAAATTCTGTGTCAATTCGTCCAGTGGTTTTTGAGTTATGTTAAACCCACAAACGAACATTACTTTTTTATTTATATAGATTTGGTCCCTTTCTTGCTCCTTTAGACCAGTGGTTCTCAACCTGTGGATCCCCAGGTGTTTTGGCCTACAACTCCCGGAAATCCCAGCCAGTTTACCAGCTGTTAAGCTTTCTGGGAGTTGATGGCTAAAACATCTGAGGACCCACAGGTTGAGAACCACTGCTTTAGACTGATGTTTCTCGAACTCTGGTCTTCCTTATGTTTTGGACTTCATTTCCCAGAATCCAGGATCATTGGTCAAAATGACCAAGGCTTCTGGGAGGTGAAATGCCAGCCATATGGAGGAAGTTTGGGAATCCTTGCTTTAGATTCCTTTTTGCCGCCTTTTGGAAACTCATATTTTCTCTTCTTCCCACCAGGTAACTGTAGAGGGAACAATATATGTGGCCAGAATAAGAATTCTCTTAGGCCAAACCTGGAGTTTAAAAGAGACGAGCAAATGCACAGAGAAGAAAAAAGTGATGCTGGAGAGATAGCCTGGAAATGCACCAACTGTGGGAGGTGGTTTGCCCCAAATACGGCACTTCTGTGTCACGAAGGGCTAGAGCCGGGAAGCAAACTATTTGGATGTGAACTCTACACAAGGGATTTAGATAGCCAGTTGTACCATCAGACTCACCAGGGAGGCCATATAGGAAAGAAACAACGCCAGTGCCAGGATTGTGAGAAATATTTGGCCTGTGGTCCATCACTTGCGAAGTTTCAAAGGGCCCATGCAAGTAAGAAGTCATACCAATGCCAAGAGTGCGGGAAAAAATGTGTCTCCAAGTCAGAACTTGTCAGGCACCTGAGAGTCCACACAGGAGAGAAACCCTTTAAGTGTCAGCACTGTGATAAATGTTTTGCCTGCAAATCCGATCTTGTGCGACACCAAAGTGTCCACACCGGAGAGAGGCCTTACAAATGCCAAGAGTGTGGGAAGTACTTTGCTTCCAGCTCCGTGTTGAAACATCTGAGGATCCACAGGGGAGAGAAACCCTACATGTGCCAGGAGTGTGGAAAGGGCTTTGCCTGCAAGTCGGACCTCGTGCGGCACCAGAGGGTCCACACAGGAGAGCGACCATTCAAATGTGAGGAGTGCGGGAAATGCTTCATTTCCAAGTCAGGCCTGGTGTACCACGAGAAGGTTCACAGAGCAGAGACATGCTACAGTTGCCAGGAGTGCGGCAAAAGCTTTTCACGGCATTCCCACTTTCTAACCCACCAGAAACTCCACACAGGGGACAGACCATTCAAATGCCAGGAGTGTGGCAAATGCTACACAGAAAATTCACATCTGATCTTCCACCAAAGAATCCACACAGGAGAGAGACCATACAAGTGCGAGGACTGCGGCAAAGGGTTCACTCGCAGGTCTGAACTCGAAATCCACCAGAGAGTCCACACAGGAGAGAGGCCGTACAAGTGCCAGGAATGTGGGAAAGGGTGCAGCCGCCGGTCAGAGCTGGTGATCCACCAGAGAAGCCACACCGGGGAGAAACCCTACAAATGCCGGGAGTGTGCCAAATCGTTCGCTTGCAAGTCAGAGCTGGTGAAACATGAGCGCATCCACACCGGAGAGAAGCCGTACCAGTGCCATGTGTGTGGGAAGTGCTACACCCAGAATTCACACCTCCTCTTCCACTGGAGAGTCCATACTGGGGAAAAGCCATTCGAGTGCCAGAAGTGCGGCAAATGCTTTGCTCATAGTTCCTACCTTGTGAGTCACCAGAGAATCCACACGGGAGAGAAACCATACCAGTGCCTTGTGTGTGGAAAACATTTTATCCGGCATTCAAATCTCATCAAGCACCGGAGAGTCCACCTAAAAGAGCAAGCATTACAAAGCCAGATGTAAGTGCTGGGTTGTAAGTCACTTGCCTCCAGGCTCTTGTAATCAGACATACTAATTGTTTCACTGACTTATCCTGATAAGGAATTACGTTTTGCTTATTTTGACAATTTTATTTGTTATCGCCATGTATTTGATGATAACAAGGATTTTTTCACTAGTTGTCGTTCTAATTTTGATTTTGATACTAAGTTTTAGCAAACGAAAGGTGTATTGACAAAAATGTGAATAGTTTGTACTATTATTTATATCTCAGTGATGGTTTTGTTAACCTGGTAAAACTTGCCTTGAAGTTTAGAACAAGAAAAGCAAGAAGTGAGAGGGGTGGGGAATTTAAAAAAAATCAGTGGTCATAGATTTCATATGGCCCACAAGTTAGAAAGTTTGCCCATGCCTGCAGTGGGCTGTTAGGAATTGTGGGAGTTGAAGTCCAAAACACCTGGAGGGCCAAAGTTTGCCAATGCCTGCTATATACTCAAGTATATATGGTATTGCATATACTCATGCATATATGGTATTGCATCCCCACTTTGTCTCCCTTTTCCAATCTAAACATATCCAACACCCTTAGTAGTTTCCCAGAGACCTTGTTTTCCAGACCTATTGGCTGATTTCCTTGGACACTTCATATGATCTAGAATCTGAATTCTGGGATCTCTAGACTTATTCAACCGAGGCTTGACTTCGACTTTTTTCACTCGATACTTCTGGAATTATTTCCTCGAACCTCTTCAGACTGCTCTTTCCCTCGTTCTTTTATAACTCTCAATTCAAACATTTTATATATTTTTTAGCTCAGAGAACGTTTACTTGTTATCGCCATGTATTTGGTGATAACAAGGATTTTTTTCACTAGTTGTCGTCTTGATTTTGATACTAAATTTTAGCAAACGAAAGACGTATTGACAAAAATGTGAATAGTTTGTACTATTATTTATATCTCAATGATTGTTTTGTAACCTGGTAAAACTTGCCTTGAATTTTAGAACAAGAAAAGCAAGAAGTGAGAGAGGTGGGGAATTAAAAAAAAAAGATTTCTGAATAAAGAGGAAAAAATAAATGTAGGAACTATAAGATTGGGGATAGCAATTGTGGACACCTTGTGCTATTATAATTTACTAGGCAAGTGGGGTTTATAGATCTGTGGAATGTCCAGGGTGGGAGAAAGAACTCTTTTCTGTTTGAGTCAAGTGTGAATGTTGCAATAGGCCAAAGGAAACAGTCAGGGCCAGCTACCATGTTTCCCTGAAAATAAGCCACTGTCTTATATTTATTTTTCTGTTGCTGGTCAGTGCTGGGGAGCAGCAGCTTTACTGGTGTTTGTGGGGGGTGAGAGAGACCCACAGACAGTTGCTGCTTGGTGCTGTGGGAGATAGACCCACAGTACTGAGTAAAACAGCAGCCACAGCTTTACTTCTTCCCCCTGAGGATGCACAATACCTTAAGCAGAGCATCCTGCTCCTCACTTCACTGAGGTGACATTTGCTTTCACTTTCTATTTCTCCCTCTATGCCTCAGCTTGCAACATGCACAGAATGGCCAGTACCTGACGGGGAGCTGACCTTGTACGCAGCATAGCCACACCTATCACTATGTCTTATTTTCAGGGTATGGCTTATATTGTGTGAATGCTTAGAAATCCTGCTACAACTTATTTTATGGGTGTGTCTTATTTTCGGGGAAACAGAAAATAAGACAAAGGATTCCCCCAGGCAGGAAGCAGCCAGGCTTTGAAGCTGCAGGATCATTCAGTGCTATAGAAGCTGCAAGACGATTCAGACCATTCAGGACCAGGTTGTGGCGCAGCTGGTTGGGAGTCAGCTGCATTAAAATCACTGCTGGCCAAAAGCACGTGAGTTCGAAGCCATCCCAGGTCGGAGTAAGCTCCCGATCATTTGTCTATCTTGCTGTCAACCTTTGCAGCCTGAAAGACAGTTGCATCTGTCAAGTAGGAAATTTAGGTACCACTTATGCTGGGAGGCTAATTGAACTAATTTACAATGCCATAAAACTCTCCAGCAGCGTGCAAAAGAATGAGGAAGTACTCCCTCTGTGTCACAAGTGGACGGTGAAGTGACAGCTCCCCTGGTGGCTGGAATTCGAAGCATATCCTCATGAAACTGGAAAGTTAAATAGCCTTTGTGTGTCTGTCTATATATGTTGTGTGTCTATGACATTGAATGTTTGCCATGTATATGTGCATTGTGTGGAGTGAGAAGGGCAGAATAGAAATACTGCAATAATAAGTAAATAATAATCAAGGTAGTCGACCACAACATTCACACTTGCCTCAAGCAGACATGAGTTCTTTCTCCCACTCTGGACATTCAACAGATATATAAACCTCACTTGTCTAGTTTCCAACACACCTCACAACTGCTGAGGATGCCTGCCATAGATGTGGGCGAAACGTCAGGAGAGAATGCTTCTGCAACATGGATCAACCCAGTGATTCTGGCCATGAAAGCCTTCGACGACAATTTTGGGATCATGTGTTCAATTATTCTCTGAATTTTCCTGTGAAAATATCTAATTAAAGAAACAAAACAACACATAAAATATGTAAACTTTCTTTTTCCTTGCAAATGTTTGATAGTTTGTATGGGCCATCACTGATATGCCGTTTGAAGATTGGCACTACTTGGAATGAAAAGAATAATGTTAAACAAACATAGCCAACCTGATTGTTCTGTCCTGAGATTAAACTTTTGTAAACCTTTTCCATGTTTGTTCCCATATGTGTGCTATAAATGAGTGGTTCATGTTAGACAGTATTAAATAGATTTTTGTGATTAATACGTCTCTTGTTTGTCTTTATAAAAAGGTCGGCAGATCTTTGGAAGCAATCAAATTGTGGGTTGTAAGTTTTTTCGGGCTATATGGCCATGTTCTAGAGGCATTCTCTCCTGACGTTTTGCCTGCATCTATGGCAAGCATCTTCAGAGGTAGTGAGGTCACAACCTCTAAGGATGCTTGCCATAGATGCAGGCAAAACGTCAGGAGAGAATGCCTCTCGAACATGGCCATATAGCCCGAAAAAACTTACAACAACCCAGTGATTCCGGCCATGAAAGCCTTCGACAATACAAATCAAATTGTGTAACTTCACAATCATTATTAATACCAGAAAGACATGTTTACCTCTCTTTCAGCTTTTTCCACTGAAAAATGGGGGAATATGCGCCACAATATTGTTGTTATTGTACCATGCAGCTGTGGACAAGTCTACATAGGGACCACCAAACGCAGCGCCCAGACACGCATCAAGGAACATGAAAGGCACTGCAGACTACTTCAACCAGAGAAGTCAGCCATAGCAAAGCACCTGATGAACCAACCTGGACACAGCATATTATTTGAGAACACAGAAATGCTGGACCACACCAACAACCACCATGTCAGACTACACGGAGAAGCCATTGAAATCCACAAGCATGTGGACAATTTCAACAGAAAGGAGGAAACCATGAAGATGAACAAAATCTGGCTACCAGTATTAAAAAACTCAAAAACTACAACAGCAAAACAACAGAGAGGAAACAATCAGGCACATCAATTCACTCTCAACACGAGATTCCTCCCAGGCGCTTCCAGGCCATTGAATGCAAATCAAGGTGATCAGCTGAAACATTACCCTGGTCATTCCACAGATATATAAACCCATTTTTCCTACTTCCAACAGACCTCACTACCTCTGAGGATGCTTGCCATAGATGCAGGTGAAACGTCAGGAGAAAAAATGCCTCCAAAACATGGCCATATAGCCCGGAAAAACCTACAACAACCCAGTGATCCCGGCCATGAAAGCCTTCGACAATACATTGTTGTTATTGTTATTCAAGATGCATACATTACACAATACACTACTGTTATTATTATCACTATTATTCAAGATGCATACACTATTATTATTATTGAAGATGCATACATTACACAATACATTGCGGTGGCTCCGATCCTTCCTTGAGGGACGGACCCAGAAGGTGTTACTGGGTGACACCTGTTCGGCCCCACAACAGTTGTTGTGTGGAGTCCCACGGGGTTCAATTCTGTCCCCGATGTTATTTAACATCTACATGAAGCTGCTGGGGGAGATCATTCGGAGTTTCGGAATGAGATGTTATCTCTATGCAGATGATGTCCAAATCTGTCACTCCTTTCCACCTGTCACCAAGGAGGCTGTCCAGACCTTGAACCGGTGCTTGGCTGCTGTGTCGGACTGGATGAGAGCTAACAAATTGAAATTGAATCCAGACAAGACAGAGGTCCTACTGGTCAGTCGTAAGGCCGAACAGGGCATAGGGTTACAGCCTGTGTTAGACGGGGTTACACTCCCCCTGAAGGCGCAGGTTCGCAGCTTGGGAGTGATCCTGGACTCATCGCTGAGCCTGGAACCTCAGGTCTCAGCGGTGGCTGGGAGAGCTTTTGCACAATTAAAACTTGTGCGCCAGCTGCGCCCGTACCTTGGGAAGTCAGATCTGGCCACGGTGGTCCACGCTCTTGTTACATCCCGATTGGATTACTGCAACGCGCTCTACGTGGGGTTGCCTTTGAAGACTGCTCGGAAACTTCAACTAGTCCAGCGAGAGGCAGCCAGATTGCTCACCGGAGCGGCATACAGGGAGCATACCACCCCCCTGTTGTGCCAGCTTCACTGGCTGCCGATCCAATTCTGAGCACAATTCAAAGTGCTGGTTTTGACCTACAAAACCCTATACGATTCTGGCCCAGCGTATCTGTCCGAATGGATCTCCCTCTACGTCCCATCTTGGAGCTTAAGATCTTCTGGGGAGGCCCTGCTCTCGACCCCGCCTCTATCGCAAGTGAGATTGGCGGGGACGAGGAGCAGGGCCTTCTCGGTGGTGGCCCCCCACCTGTGGAACTCACTCCCCGGGGAGATTAGATCGGCATCCTCCCTTTTATCATTCAGGAAAAAACTGAAGACCTGGATGTGGGACCAAGCCTTTGGGCATTCTGGCAACTAAAGGAAAAACCCGATGATGAGCAGGAATTGATGGAACAGAATGGACATTCGGAACTCTGAACACTGAGCATGAGATTGTTTATGTATTGATGTTTTAATCTGTTAATTTGCTTAAATTGTTTTTGTATGTTTTGTATAATGTGATATAGGCATCGAATTGTGCCTTCGCTTGTAAGCCGCCCTGAGTCCCCCCTCGGGGGTGAGAAGGGCGAGGTAGAAGTAATTGAAATAAATAAATAAATAAATAAATAAACATTCTATTATTATTGAAGATGCATACATTACACAATACACTTGTTGTTGTTTTTTAGGTGAAGCTTCTGTATTTATCACCCCCACCCCCACCCCAATTTATGCGGTCCCTTTAAATCCATCGAGGTCTTAAAGGCTTCCCCGCCTTCCTCTCTGACAAGCCCTAGTCATTTAGAGGGGGCCTGCCTTTCTTCCGCCAGTAGTTGGGCGTGACGTCAGTCACCTGACCAGAAGTAGGAAGAGCCATGCTCCTATACGCACTTCCGGAGCGCCTCCCTAACCTCTTCCTCCAGTCTTTTGAGGAAAAGGAGGGAAGCAAAGCGCTCAGGCCTCTCAAGGCGGGGATCCTGGAGGTGAGGACCGGCTGGGCGTGGGAATGGGGGATCCTGGGGAAGGAGATCCAGCCATTTCTAGGGGAGGAAGCCAAAGGGGCGGCTGAGGCGAGGCTTGGGGCCTTCCCTGGTGGAGGCTGGGCCTCTCTAATGTTTTGGGCCCAGTGATGTTTGGGATTTGGGGGATGTTTATTTACTTTGCTTATATACCGCTGTATCTCAAGCCCGAAGGCGACTCACAGCGGTTCACAAACAGTAGAAACAGTAGAAACAGCAGTGGTTCCATACAACATATAACAATTGACTTAACACATTATCCATAAATTACCAATAAGCAATTACAATGCACAATTATTACAAAAAACAACCGTACCCAATCTTCTCATCATCCAATCGTAGTCCAGATTCGTCGTCCATTGTTCCATTCCTATGTTCCATTACCAGATTGTACTAAATTACTCAAACGCCTGCACAAACATCCAGGTCTTCACCTTTTTGCGGAATACCATTAGAGATGGTGCTAGTCTAATGTCCGTAGGAAGGGCGTTCCACAGCCGAGGAGCCACCACCGAGAAGGCCCTATCTCTCGTCCCCGCCAGCCGAGCTTGAGAAGCAGGCGGGATCAAGAGCAGGGTCCCCGGAAGATCTCAAAGTCCTGGTGGGTTCATAGGCAGAGATGCGGTCAGATAGGTAGCTTGGGCCGGAACCGTTTAGGGCTTTAAAGGCCAACGCCAGCACTTAGATGTTGCAGCCTAGAGTGCCCAGAGGCTTCTGTTGAAAAGGCTCTCGAGCAGAATCACTGAAAACTTGGAACACAAAGGGGTCAATGTATTGTCTAAGGCTTTCGTGGCCAGAATCACTGGGTTGTTGTAGGTTTTTCGGGATATATGGCCATGTTCTAGAAGCATTCTCTCCTGACCTTTCACCTGCATCTGTGGCAGGCATCCTCAGGGGTTGTGAGGTGTGTTGGAAACTGGACATGTGAGGTTTATATATCTGTTGAATGTCCAGAGTGGGAGAAAGAACTCATGTCTGCTTGAGGCAAGTGGGAATGTTGCGATTGACTACCTTGATAAGTGAAACCAAGGGACCTTCCACACAGCCGTATAACCCAAAATATTAAGGCAGAAAATCCCACAATATCTGCTTTGAACTGGGTTATCTGAGTCCACACTGCCATATAATCCAGTTCAGAGCAAAAAATGTGGGATTTTATTCATCTATGTGGAAGGGACCCAAGACTATGGATTCCATGGTTATAGAAGTCTTACTGTGTTGAAAAGCCATAAGTGTCATTGGTGCTTCCTCCTCCTCCTCCTCCTCCTCCTTCTTCTTCTTAACTTACTTGTATCTTAACTTACTAGCATCTTCTTAACTTACTAGCATCTCCCGAAGGACTCGATGCGGCTTACAAAGGCCAAGGCCTCAACAAAACAATAGTACAACAAATACAATTCAAAGCAAATCAAAAACATCAAAGCAATAACAGCAAACAACAAAACAATACACCATAACACCATAAAAACAGGGCCGGGCCAAAGTAATGGGTACAGATCAAAAGTGCTGGGTGTGACAAGTGGTCTATCGGATTTCAAGGAAGTGCAATGTGCAGAGAATCTTAAAATTCTGATAAAGTGCTTCTGGGACTCTAATGAAGTGCTTACTGGAGTTTCCTATTCTAGAAAGGCATTCCTAGACAAAAGGACTGATTAACTTTTGGAGGAAGGGGGATGTGACCTATGCAGGCAAAAAGGAAGCAACAAGGCTTGGGTATATAGATCAAAGAAACAAACGGGGGTGAAATAAAGGAAAGTCAAGCTGTTGGCAATTCCTTCTCACAATTCACTTTCTACAAGCCTTGATGCCTCTTTGCTTCCAGCTAGGAGCACAACAAAGTCCTTACCCTGAATGTTCTCCTCTGTAAGAGAATATGGGAAAGGCCACTTGTGAATGGTTAAACTTGGTGGTGCAAAACTCAGCTGCCTTTTGCATTTTATGTGGCCTTGGCTGACAGGGAGCTCTGGCGTAGGATAATCCATGAGTTTCTGAAGAGTCAGAAATGACTGAACAAATAAACAACAACATGGTCAAGCCAAGAATAGGAAACAATTTCTTTTTCATCCAGGGGACAGTGAACCTTACATTGCCACAGAGGAGGTGAAGACCCTGCTGGATCCTGATCAGAGAGCCTTGGAAAGATAGATCATGGAGAATGGTGGGAATGTGACTTCTCTTGGTAAGGCTCTTTTCTTCCCTGCTCATTATCTTTTTTTAATGCAATTGTCATGATCATCATCACGATGATGTGGATGCTGTGGTTTTTAATTTTGTATGACATCGAATTGTTGCCAACCTGTAACCCGCCTTGAGTTCCCTTAGAGCTGAGAAAGGCGGGCTATAAATGCCATAAATAAATAAATAAACACATTTAAATGGTTTTTAACTGGGAATTTTTAAATACTGTTTATATGCAATCCTGTTTTTATGTCTGCATATCTGTACATTTTAAATTGTATGCTGATAGGGATGGTAACACACCCGGGCATCCCCTGGGCAACGTCTCTGCAGGTGGCTAGTTCTCACACTCTAGAAGTGACTTCCTTGTTGGCTGGTTGTAGGTTTTTCAGGCTGTATGGCCATGTTCCAGAAGCATTCTCTCCTGACGTTTCGCCTGTATCTGTGGCAGGCATCCTCAGAGGTTGTGAGGTCTGTTGGAAACTAGGAAAATTAGGTTTATATATCTGTGGAAAGTCAAAGGTGGGAGAAGGAACTCTTTGTTTGTGGGAGACAGGAGTGAATGTTGCAGTTGGCCACCTTGATTAGCACTAAAATGCTTTGCAGCGTCAAAACCTGGCTGCTTTCTGCCTGGGGGAATCCTTTGTTGGGAGGTGACCTCACAACCTCTGAGGATGCCTGCCACAGATGCAGGCGAAATGTCAGGAGAGAATGCTTCTAGAACATGGCCATACAACAACCCAGAGATTCTGGCCAGGAAAGCCTTCAACTTCCTTGTTTCTGATTTTTTTCTGAACCTCTTTGGGTTCTTTAAGTCTATTGGCTGCTCTTTGCAGAAGTGCATTTCATTCTTGTCTTTTGTTTGTCTTTCTCTTCAGCAAATTATGGGAGGAAAACAAAGGTGTGTGCAGAAGACGACGCCAGAGAGATGTCCTCAAAATGTGTCCGATGTCGGAAACATTTTCCTAAGAAGATGGTGCATACTTTGCATAAGAAGTTCCAGCCTGGGAAGAAAAAATATAGATGTAAAGTGTCTGGGAGATGTTCAGATTGCAAGTTGCAAGTTGTGAGCCGCCAGAGACTCCACACAAGAAAGAAATCATATAAGTGCTGTAAGTGTGGGAAATGCTTTCTTCACAAATTGAACCTCCTGGTTCACCAGAGAGTCCATACTACAGAGAAACCCCACAAATGCCATGAGTGTGACAAACGTTTTATTTTCAGTTCCAGCCTTGTGAGCCACCAAAAAGTTCACAGTGCAGACAAACCATTCAAATGCCAGGACTGTGGAAAATGCTTTCGTCAGAATTCGCACCTCCGGTCCCACCAGAGAGTCCACGTAGGAGTGAAACCATTCAAATGCCAGGTTTCCCAGTGCGGGAAACGTTTTTCTGACCACGCACACTTCATGATGCACCAAAGAGCTCACACTGAACAGAAGCCGTACAAATGTCAGGAGTGCGGCAAATGTTTCAGGCAGAATTCCAACCTGGCGATGCATCAGAAAGTCCACTTGAGGAAACCGCACACGTGCCAGGAGTGCGGGAAGTTTTTTGATCACAAGTCCGACCTTGTGAAACATGAGAGAGTCCACACAGGAGAGAAACCGTACAAATGCCAGGAGTGCGCCAAATGTTTTGCTTGCAGTTCGCAGGTGGTCCGCCACCAGAGGGTCCACATAGGCGGGAAGCCCTACAAATGCCAGGAGTGCGAAAAGTGTTTTGGTCACAACTCAGACCTTGTGAAGCATCAGAGAGTCCACTCGGGAGAGAAGCCGTACAAATGCAGGGAGTGCGGGAAGTGTTTCAGTCATACTTCAAGCCTTGTGAAGCACCTGAGAGTTCACACAGGAGAGAAACCATTCAAATGCCAGGCGTGTGGGAAGTTTTTCTCTCAGAACTCACACCTCGTGATCCACCAAAGAGTCCACACGGGAGAGAAGCCCTACAAATGCCAGGATTGCGGAGCGTGCTTTGCCCACAAGACGCACTTTGTGACTCACCAAAGACTCCACACAGGAGAGAAGCCGTACGAATGCCAGGAGTGTGGGAAATGTTTCACGCAGAACTCAAACTTTGTGAGGCACCAGAGGATCCACACGGGGGAGAAACCTTATGTATGCCCACATTGCGCCAAAGGGTTCGCCCACATGGCTGATCTGGTGAAGCATCTGCGAGTCCACACAGGAGAGAAGCCGTACCGGTGCCAAGAGTGTGGCAAATGTTTCTCCCAGAATTCCCACCTCGTGACCCATCAAAGAGTCCACACGGGAGAGAAACCCTTCCGATGCCAGGAATGTGGGAAGTATTTTGCTTACAAGTCCCAATTTGTGAGTCACCAGAAAGTCCACATGGAAGAGGAACCATACACATGCCCAGATTATGCCGAATCTTTTGCTCCCGTGTCAGACCTTGAGAGCCACCAGACAAGCCACACTGGAGAAATTGTGCAAGTGCCAAGAATGTGGGGAATAATTTGGACTAAAGTTAGGCTTTGAGAGGCACCAGAGACCTCATACATTGGGACAACCCTCATCTTGGCCTCCTGTGGATGCATTTTGTCAACACTCAGGTTTGATAATCCACCAGCATATCCACTCAGGAAATCAACTCTCTGAGCTTGAGAAGGCGCACTTAGCAGACCACTTCGAACTCTGTGCTGGAAATAAAGGCCGGTTAGTTACGATGTTGAAAGTTAGACTTAAGGCATTGTTTGGGTTGAGTATCCCTTTCCCGAAATGCTTGGGACTGAAATGTAATGGGATATTGTTTTTTTCCAGATTTTGTAATATTTGCATAAATTGGATATTATGGAGATAAGACCCAAGCCTAAACATGAACATTAAGTTACATTTTATATATATGTTACATTGCCTGAAGGTAATTTTATACATAATATTTGTAGCAATTTTGAGCATATAACGCATTTGTGTACACTGAGGCATCAGAAAGCAAAGATGTCGCTTTTTGCCATCTGTGTGGACAGTTTCAGATTGTAAAGTACCATCAGTCCTCCACATTTGCCAGGGATTAAGGGCACGGGGCCTCCATAAAAGTTTTTATTTATTGTATCAGAAGCAAACCAAGTGTACAATTGTAATGTATTTTTCAAAAAACACAAAGTTTAAAAACTTGGCATTCAGTAGCTGGCCACTTGTAAGGACGTCCTCCATTGTGCATGTGGCAGGGCTCAGACTGCATTGTAGTAGGTGGTGTGTGGTTTGCTGTTTTCCACACTCGCATGCCGTGGACTCCACTTTGTGGCCCTATTTCTTAAGGTTGGCTCTGCATTTCGTGGTGCTAGAGCACAGCCTGTTCAATGCCTTCCAAGTCGCCCAGTCTTCTCTGTGCCCAGAGGGGAGTCTCTCATTTGGTATCAGCCACTGACTGAGGTTCTGGGTTTTAGCCTGCCACTTTTGGACTCCTGCTTGCTGAGGTGTTCCTGCAAGTATCTCTGTAGATCTTAGAAAATTATTTCTTGATCTGAGGTATTGGCATGCTGGCTAATAATCCAAACAGGGGATGGGCCGGAGATGTCACTGCCTTGGTCCTTTCATTATTGGCTGCTACTTTCCGGCGGATGTCAGGTGGTGCAATACTGGCTAAACAGTGTGATTTCTCCAGTGGCGTAGGGCGCAGACATCCTGTGATAATGTGGCATGTCTCATTAAGAGCCACATCCACTGTTCTAGCGTGGTGAGATGTGTTCCACACTGGGCATGCAGACTCAGCAGCAGAGTAGCACAGCGCAAGGGCTTCACTGTGTCTTGTTGTGATCCCCAGGTTGTGCCAATCAGTTTTCGTTTGATATTGTTTCTAGCACCCACTTTTTGCTTGGTATTCAGGCAGTGCTTCTTGTAGGTCAGACAACGATCCAGGGTAACTTCCAGGTATTTGGGTGTGCTGCAATGCTCCAGTGGGATTCCTTCCCAGGCTCAAGATGATTGTCTGTTCTTAAGATGAAGAGCACACATCTGTGTCTTAGATGGATTAGGGATCAGCTGGTTTTCCTTGTAATAGGCAGTAAGAGCACTTAAAGCTTTGGAGAACTTCTGTTCAACTATTTCAAAGCTCCCTGCTTGGGCAGTGATGGCACAATCATCAGCATAGATGAAACTCTCTGTCCCTTCTGACAGTGGTTGATCATTTGTGTAAATGATAAGCATTGATGGTGCAAGCACGCTCCCCCGAAGCAGGGCGTTCTTCTGTTTTCTCCATCTGCTTTCACCAGAAGCAACCAGAATCCATGAAAGGGAAAAGCTGTGAATAAAGAAATTGTAGCATTTTTAAGGGAGGCAAACCAAGAGGCAGTTTGTAGCCATGGCATTGTGACTCTGAGCTTGAAAGCACAGCATGGAAAGGATTTTCATCAGGAATGTTCAATTCATAATTAATTAGTCACATCCTTACAGAAGAGTAGGCCTTGGAGTGTGCTGCAGAGATGCATGAGCTAAATGTAATGTGGCTTTTATCAGAATAGCAAGATGTGTCTAACCAAGGCTGGGATTCAGCTGTGACCAAGCTCCTCAAGTCAGGCAGAAAAGCATTGGCCTTTCCCTCTCTCCAATCCCTGGGAGGGTAATATACACTGCCTCTGATGAGGGAGATTTGGTTTACTTGTAACAGTATCATAGAATCATAGAGTTGGAAGAAAAAGGTCTTGGAGTCCTCATGGACAACAAGTTAAACCTGAGCTAACAATATGATGCGGCAGCAAAAAAAGCCAATGGGATTTTGGCCTGCATCAGTGTCTAGATCCAGGGAAGTCATACTACCCCTCTATTCTGCCTTGGTTAGACCACACTTGGGAATCACACTGTGTCCAGTTCTGGGCACCCCAATTGAAGAGAGAGATTGACAAGCTGGAATGTGTCATCAGGAGAGCAACTAAAATGATCAAGGGTCTGGAGAACAAGCCCTATGAGAAGCGGCTTAAAGAGCTGGCCATGTTTAGCCTGAAGAAGAGAAGGCTGAGAGGAGACACGATAGCCATGTATAAGTATGTGAGAGGAAGTCATGAGGAGGAGGGAGCAAGCTTGTTTTCTGCTGCCCTGGAGACTAGGACGCAATGGAACAATGGCTTCAAACTACAAGAAAGGAGATTTCATCTGAACATTAGGAAGAACGTCCTGACTGTGAGAACTGTTCAGCAGTGGAACTCTCTGCCTGAGAGTGTGGTGGAGGCTCCTTCTTTGCAGGCTTTTAAACAGAGGCTGGATGGCCATCTCTCGGGGGTGCTTTGAATGCAATTTTCCTGCTTCCTGGCACGGGGTTGGACTGGATGGCCCATGAGGTCTCTTCCAACTCTGTGATTCTAAGAGGACACATGGACCATCTAGTCCAACGCCCTGCCATGCAAGTAAAGCACAACCAAATATGCAAAAATCAAGCCTGGAAATGTGGAAGGCTGACTGTCCAATTAACACATTGACAGAAATCCAATGGATGGTCCCAACTCAAAACAGACCTATTAAATTGATGGGAACTCAGTAAGTTTACACTAACCCTGTGTTTCACGGATTCAAAGGATCTCTTCTAGTTAGCAGTAGAAGCTGGATTTGGGCATTCGTGCCTTTCATGAGATTGTCTTCTGCATGTCCACTTGTTTAATAATGAAAAGGGGGGATTTTTTTTCTGTCTTCTTTGTGATTTCACAAATGGTGCAATTGCAACTAAAATCTTGTTACTACTATTGCTTTTGAAATTGGTAGGTAGCCTTGTGGGAATTCCTGTCTGTTCCCACTGCTATTTAGTCACTGTGAAATGGGCTTTTAGGAATATAATGTTTTTATTACTTTTTTAACATTTCAATTTTGGGGGAATATGCTGTATCAACGCCATTAGTGCTGTGTGGGAATTCACCTACAGTTACAATATTTTTTATTTAGGAGGCAGGTTATTCATACTTCTCTCTTCAGACGGCTTCATTTATTGTTCCATTAGATTTACGTATTAGACCTTTGGAGGGGGGGAACATAAATAATGGTGAATTGTAAGTACTTTTGGGGATGTAGTAGGTTTCATTAGGAGTTGAAATCAATACTTTGTACAATATAATCTCTGAAAAATCATCTTATTCTTTGTAACTGGGCAAACGGCAACAAAGGGAGCATGTATAGGCCCCCAGACTTTTTGCATTAAATAATCCCCACAATGCTCCCAGATGCCTTCTTTGGTTTGTGGAAAGTATTTTTGCCACTTTGTACTTTCCTGTTAGGTTCAGGAGAGGGCTTTATTTGAATCAGAGAGTGAATCGGGGTCACATTTACTGGGTCTAAAGTGATTGAGGAGAAGGAGATGTGACAAAAACAACCTCTATGCCAGTGGTTCTCAACCTGTGGGTCCCCAGGTGTTTTGGTATACAACTCCCAGAAATCTCAGCCACTTTACCAGCTGTTAGGATTTCTGGGAGCTGAAGACCAAAACATCTGGGGACCCACAGGTTCAGAACCACTGCTCTATGCTTTCTAGAGCACTGCTTCTTAAACTGTGGGTTCTGACCCCAAATGGGGTCCCTTAGCTCAGTGTTGGGTTCTTGAAAAATTTGGCCACTGTAAAAGGTTTCTGAATGCTACCTATTTACACATGTGTTATCAACAACATTCAGTGTTTACAGTGGACTCCGCAAAAATGTCTCCACTCTACTCCACAAAAAGTAGAATCAGCTCGTTTAACAAGCCTTGCAAATACTGATTTATTATCAGTCAATCTTTGTTTTTATTATATACTTGAGGTCACATAAAAATGTCTAAGGTGGAAAGGGGTTCCGGATGGAAAACATTAGGATGCCTGCACTAGAGAGTACTTGAGGACAAAAACAGTTCTTGGTAACACTACATAATAACATTTGGAAAAAATTCTATTCCTGGTTTGAAAGTGTTATTTCCTGTTTAATTGTGCTGTACTTACTGTGAAAATAGATGTTATGTTCAGAAACTTTGTTTTTGTGGCTGCCACAAACTGTTGAATGTGTTGAGACTCAATGAGATATTGAAAAGGTAAAGGTTTTCCCTGACATTATGTCTAGTTGTGTCCGACTCTGTGGGGTGGTGCTCATCTCCATTTCTAAGCCGAAGAGCCGGCGTTGTCCATAGACACCTCCAAGGTCATTTGGCCAGCATGACTGCATGGAGCGCTGTTACCTTCCCGCCGAAGCAGTACCTATCGATCTCACACTTGCATATTTTGAACTGCTAGGTTGGCAGGAGCTGGGGTAACAGCGGAAGCTCACCCCGCACCCCAGATTCAAACCGCCAACCTATCGGTCACAAGTTCAGCACCTCAGCAATTTAACCCATTGCACAACCATGGGCCCATTCATGGTGCTGCAGGATGTCCCTCCCACAAAGGCCCCATCTACATTGCCATATAATCCAGTTTCTGAATCCACATTATCTGCTTTGAACTGGATTATATGGCAGCGTAGATCCAGCCTAAGTGTAGAGCTCCAGGGAAGAAGAAGCAAAGTGAGTTTTCACATTTTTGAGGAAAACTCATCTTCAACTGCAAGCTCAGTCTGATATTGATGCAGATAGCTTCTCTTCTCAACTTCTAAGGTGGTCATACTCACTTAGTGGCAAAATGTGAGTCACATTTCTTTTTAAATTCTGCATAAATGTATATAAATGGATTCCTGTGATTGGAGGACTAACTATCCAAAGTTTGTCATGGTTTAGTCCAGGGATTTTATTGTTCTATTACTGAATATGTATCTTAGGCGTTGCCAATTTTGTCTGAATTTTTTGGGGGATATATGGTATGCCTGTATAAACTTTTCTGCTTAATTCGTTATTTGTTGTTATTGTGTATTTTTTCCTACTTGCAGGCTAAAGTCTTGCATGGGTCAACATAGTGTAAGTATTCTGCTTTGGAGCAACATAACACTGAGCGATGTCTCACCTGAGGATAGTACTGTAGCCCTTTTAA